ATTTAAGGAAGGGTTATATACGGGCTGGGTCATTACGAGTTGGCGTAGGTTGTGAATCAACTGGTTTACTAAAAAATTTTTACTCGCGGGTTGACCCATACATAAAATTACTTTTTAACAATGTTATATTTTATAACTTAATGGACTTCAAGTTTTTACATTTACGGCAAGTATAACTGGGTCAGCCCATGCATCGAGGTGGGTCGACTCAGTAACCAGGTCATGATACACGAGTCGAATTTTTATTTTTTTGTTCAAATAAATTTTACACTTGTATTTTCTAACTCCTTCAAGTTCAACTTTTACGTTTTGAGCCATATTAAACTGGGTTGATCCATGAGTCATGTCGGATCGAAACAATAACCGAACCACGGTACATGGATCGAATTTTGATTTTTTAAAAAATAAAGTACAACTCTAGATTTTAACTTAGGAAACTAATAATTATATTTTCTACTAAGTTTTACCGGCCGACCCATGGATCGACCCGTGAATCGAGTTGGGTCCATCCAGTAATCGGGTCGCGATACGCCGGTCGGAGTTTTTTATTTTTTTGTTCAAAGAAACATTTACACTTTGTATTTTCTCACTCATTGAAATTCAATTTTCATGTTTCGAGTCATATTAAACTGGGTCGATCCACGGGTCGTATTGGATCCCATGAATTTTAATATAGGAGAATAATAAGTTTTATGTTTCACATTAAGTTTTAAATGAGTGATCTAATATTTGGGTCACATTTGAATTTTTGTTCAAATAAAATATACACTTGTATTTCTAACTTATTGGACTCATACTATTCATATTGGTGTAAAAGAATTAATTTATTATTATTTTTATTTAGTTGGGCTCATATTTATTACATTGGTAACATATGTATTTATGTTAAAAAGTCCACTAAATGTATTTATGGATATCCATGGGTATGTTTTCATGGATATTCATGGATACCCATGGGTATTTAATATACATCCATTTAAATCCATTAAATTTAATAGATATGGATGGGTATTTATCCATTAAGCTAATAACCATTAAAAACCAATTTCAAGTAGTCCAAATCCGCCCATTTTACAACTTGAACTAAAACCGCTTTTCAGTCACAACTATCTATCTAAATCATCATCACGTTTTAAGTTTCACGTAAGTAAAGTTTTCATTGGAATCTTTTGTAAGCATATGAACAAAAAAGATGCAACAAAATAACTGTGAAAAGCACAGACAACATTTCTTCTTCCTTCCTTTTTATCAATTCCATCCCCTCCACCATACCCCCTTCACAAATCCCATGGGATTGTAATTTTCCGTTTCACTTTCATCATCAACAACAACAAAAAAAATTCAAGACACCATTTTTGCTTAAACCAGTGCCATTCTGCCAAAACAAAAAAAATGGACTGAGAATTTGAGAGTTTACTCTATCATCCCATTCCCATCAACTGCCATGAAATCCCATCTCAGCAAAATGAACAGTACCCTTTCTGAAAGGGACAGTAAAAAAGAGCCTGCTTTTACAGTACTCTGCTTTCCGAATAGCTAAATAGTAGTAGCATGATAGGTACAAATTAGAGCTATAATTAGCCTTAAAAAAGTGCATTTTCCAAGGAAGATTGGTGGTAGATTTGCCATGGTCATTTCATGGTGACAAATTGCAAGAACAAAAATATTTTTGGATCTAAAGATTCCAAGGCCAATATGGGGAGATTTCATTTCCCTGAATGGCCAAACAAAGAAATCACCTTTGACTGGAACAATTTCCTTCTATTGCTTTTCAATCTCATTTATATCAGAGATTGCCATGCAATTACAACACTAATTAATAAACTACTTTCACAAGTAGATCACAGAATTACATTCTTCTTCTCTAAGTGAAGAGGCAACCAAAAAAAAAAAGGAGAGATCTGTTTCCTATACAAATTGCACTTTAGAGTTGTTATCCACTTGAAGATCTCCTCCCTTTTTCTATTTTTCTTGCTTCCCTACTCCAAAAATATACGAAACAACTCCAATATATATACATATTTTGATATTTTTCCTCCCTTACCCACAAATGAATCACATCGAATCCAAATTAAAGGGAGGGGGAGGAGTTTAAACTTTACAGGAGTTATTGATATATGTGGGTTCTCATTAACTGATTAAATTGATACTTTGTTTAGACTCGCCAGCCTCCAAAAACAAAAATCAGATCAGTCCTACAACTCCAACAGAACTTCAAGTAGCTCCAGACATTTTTTTTTTAGAAAAGTCCCAACATAAGAATAATATCAAACAGAAAAAATCAAAGAACCGGTAGCAAAATTCAATGATTTTGACAACATCTCCTGAAAAAATAAATTGAATCAAAGATCTTTTGCTTAGATCTGTATGAAAACCTAATCCATCCCTCAAATCATCGGAACCCAATAAAGAAAAAGGAGAAGAGGAACACATACAAGGTTGTCGCTGCAGAATGATGAAGAAGAAGGAAACCGTGGGGAGCCGGAGAAAAATGGTTGCGCCGCGGTGGAGATGGAGAAGTCGTCCGTCAGAGTCTCGTGACTCTCGTCGATGAGAGGAGAAAGAAAAGAAAAGAAATTAGGCCGTAAAAATTTTTAAAAGGTGGGGAGATCCAAATAGCTTATAACCCGGTATTGACCCGATAATAACCTGCGTACTGTTCAACTCCATGAGAGTTTGGAATCCCAAATAATAGCTTCAAGCCCGAAATTGAAATCATGGCATTGGAAGCCTTTTGGCATTGGCATTGACCCAATGCCATCTTATTTTTGGACAGCCAAACACCGAATTTGACATTTAAATTCCAAATCCAACCCCCAATGCCATGCAAACGAACAGAGCCATAGGGTTTTCTCCAATTTGGAACATTTTAAGAAAATATATGTATATGCCGAATTCATTGTTATTAAGGAGGAAAAAAATGCTCAATTTTTAACACTTGAGTTTAAACTTATTTTTACACCTATATACATAAAATGATTTGGCACTTCATTATGGAGCTATCAATTGTAAAATAATCATATTGTTTCAAGTTTTGAGATGACTTAAAGTGTTCGATTAATTTGTATTAAGATGAAACAAATTATTAACACTTTTAGTATATGCCAAATGAGTTTTCACACTATTTATTATAATTTATTATTTTTGAATAATTTTAGTTTCATTAAAGGATACTATAAGTTTAAGAATTACGAGTTGCTTAATTTTGTGAACTTATGTTACATCTAGACCTTATAAATTTACAAATCACACTATGCATTTAATAATTACTTATGGATGCTATGATTTATGTGACTATTTTTATTTGGTTTGGACTTATGATAGTTGAATTTGTCACATCCCACAATGTTTGTCTTGAAGGTTCTTCGTTAAGATTTAGAAGAACAGTGGGAGTCAAATGTTGACAAATCAATATGGCAAAATAATGAAGGATGAAGTAAAAGCTATGAATGCAAATGCTCTAGGGTTACGATGATCTCCGGCTAGCTTAAGTGGTTGATCATGTAACTCATATTTGATTCAGTGGTTATAAAGTTTGTCTTTGTACATCACCATCTTCTTAGTGAATTTTTATTAATACACTTGTACATTCCAAATTTTTTGAGATTCCGCTGCATGTATTTTCCCGCAACAAGTGCTCAAATGAAGTGTAGCACATTAAGTTGACCTGTTGCATTATTGGATCGAAACTTAAGTGTTTGTAATGTGCATAGAGTATATGATAATTAACATTATGTCTAAAGACTCACTTATGATTGGCAACAAAGAAACTTATGAAATATATATAAGTTTTATACGGTCATGTCAATATTAAGTAGTGCTCGCTTTTGGACATATAATTGAGTAAATATTATATCCTATTAGTGTACATTTTTGTTTTTGAATGAAATCATAAGATTTAATATTTTGGACCATTTTATAAACATTATTGTTTGTTATTCATTTCCTCCTCATAAAGTTTATCCACGTTAGTTGCTAACATTGTGATACACCCTAGTGGGTTGTTAGGACATATAATTGCTACGATTCCTGTTAGTGATAATGTAGGATAGGCAAAATTACTTACTTTAGTGGCCACAAATATAAGGATCTACCTTTCTGTGGTCATTTGTCCAAGTGAGAGAATGTTAGATATTTAAGTATTTTTATTACTGTGGACTTTATGACCACAATAATAACTTAAATATTATTCTCTTAATTAACATGGATAATTATTTATTAGGAATTTACCTAATAGGTTAACCACGATTACAGTAGGTAGATATAGTAATTAATAGAGGAGTCTAAAAGAGAGGACTGATCGTAAGAGTACGTTCCACGATGAGAAGGAACTCTACTCTATATATACTACTGCTACTCTCTGGTCCCTCTCTCTACTCATATAATTAATTGTGGTCCACCCATTAAATATCCAATATTAAGGAATTGAGTCAGGAGAGAAGATCAAAGGGTTTGATCAATCATGGGTTTCGGAAAATCACGGCTTAACAAAGTATGTATTTATGTTGTTGTTATTGCAGATCATGCCCATAAAGTTAACATTCGATTGTTGCAAACAGCTAAAGAATTGCTCTATCTAAAGACCCAAAATCATTTAAGGGCTTTCAACTGCTATGCATGGTATAGCTACGCAACGCAATACTGATGAATCTGCGTCTAGTTCTTAGACTCATACTTTTAAAGTGTTTTTTTTTTTTTTAATTCCGACTTTTGGATAAAAGTTACCATGTAATATTTTAACTTTAACTTAACCTTTGCCTCCTTCGATTGAAAGAAAAATAAAAGGAAAAAGATGTGACAGAATCGTTCATTTTTTATTTTTTTTTTCTGTGGAAGGAAATAAGTGCTAGAAAAAGCTAAAAGGTTGTGACTTTTTGCCACTTTTTACTTGCTGTACCGCCGAAAGATCGAAAGTGAAGGCACTCTTTAACAGTCTAAACTCTATCATACTTTTCCGGCAGGCGGCAATCAAGCTTTTCTCTGATTGTTTGTTGGTGGAGATGTCTGATTCCGGCCAGTGGGCTGATTTCACTGACGCCATTGATGTTGTGGAAGACATGATAGAGGGAAAAAACCATCGCTGGTTTTTCCTTCCGAATCGAATGGATTCCGTGGTAACAGAGCTGAAATTTCTGTACACATTTCTGGGTTGCGTTCACATGTGTAGCAAAGATGAATCATCGCCATCCGAATCTTCATCTTGTTCTTCTTCAACATTCCATAACATGAGCCTGGATACCCTTTTCATGAATGTTGCAGCTGCTGCGAAAGAATTGATCATATGTCTTCAAAATGCTTTATCTCGCGGAGACTCAAGAAGAGAGCCCTTTGAATCGCTTGATGTTGTGAAGGCAGAGGTTAAGGCAGCTTATCAAGGCTCTTTGTCCAAACAACTTTTCCGTTGCCGGGCACCTTCCACCAGAAGTTTATCCTGGTACCATTTTAGTTTATCTTTAAAATCGAATTTGCGAATTTTGTCCGAAAACGCATCACTGAGATTGGATGATCATTTGAGGAAGCAATTGAAAGCACTGGAATGGACTCTGCATTCTCTGAACTGGCTTTTTAGTGGCGATGGTTTTGGTTGGTCACCTTGGGAGCGCAATATGCTGGCTTATTTCGGAGGATTGGTTGTTCAGGTTGCTCATTTGTGTTGCTGGCTATGGTTTGCTCGAGTTGATCAAAGCATGGATCGAGATGTGGCTACTAGTCTATCAGATCTGCACCGAAAAATCGACCCGGAAACTCCAGAGTTCCTGGATGTTGCTTTGACATTTGCAGGAAGAATCTACGGTGGGGTACATCCTGAAAGATCTATATTCTCTTTTCTTCAGTACATTCTTGGTTTACAGGATGAAAGATTAGTTCTTCACAAAGAATTTGTATCTGTAATCTCCTGTCTCATCAAAATTCCAGAGGATATGCAATTCAGGGATGTGAATAGTATTTTAGTGGCTGTTAAAGATGTGATCAAGCAGGCAAGACATGTCATAGGAAGAAACAGGCGTCCAGATAAGACTGATTATGCAATTCTATTCTCAAAGATTTGGTCTCTTAAGGCTGAGATCTTCATCAAAAGCAATGGAGCCCTCATTAGGTATTCGATGAATGATCATGTAGAAGCCCTGAATGAGGGGTATAGATTCATTGAACAAATTCCTTGTCCAACAATCAAAGAGTCTGTGGATGATCAGATCTTAAAGCTCATTGAAGGAGTTCCAGGGCAGGTGCTATCTCTCTATAGGTCCTCCCCATTTGGGGACAAATTAGTACACATCAGGGTCAGCAATTCACTGTACAAGAATCTTGTGCACATCCTGCTATTAAAGGCAAAGGCACTTCTGTTGGAGACATTGGAGAAGGATTCACATACAATGCTTCCGCTGAAGTCCAAAATTGGAGCTCTTCATGAGGGACTCTTTCTCTTCACAGATACAGTGATTAACAAGACAAAAGAGATTACAATGGATGAGAAGCTGATCCTGAAAGATTTTGAAAGAGTTGCTACAGGTGTAATCTCCCTCTCTCCTACATTTCCAGCAGATTATTTGACAGAAGAAGGAGTGAAGATTTTGGATGTTGGGCTTCTTGATTTGTTGGAAAGAGTTCAGAAATTGAAGGCGAGGGTTAAAGGCCTTTACAATGCAATTCCGCAGTTTAATCTTCCCCAGACTCCTGGGTTGTGCTTCATAGAACTTCTTTTACAAAATTTAAGAGGTCTGCTCAACCGTAAGCTGGAATCAACAGCACGTGCAGCCCATCAAATTGAAGACATTTGCACAGATTTGGAGTTCCTTGTTTCAAACCAGGATGTCTTTGAGCAAGCCTTTGTGAAACAGGAGTGCAAAGATCTTCATAAGCAGCTTGTTTGTGCAGCATACCAAGCAGAACGTGTTATCGATTTAATGCAGAGTGAAGACTCGATGTGGGAACATTATCTGTGGCTTTTTCACCTATCTGAAGAGATAAAACATGTGAAAACAAAAATGCAGCAGTCAAGTTTTAAAGAGAACAGCAACTACAATGATGGAGTGGAAAATGTCACCCAGAGGTCAATGCCTGTGGTGTCACCTGTTGCCACAAGCACAATTGAGGAAGTGATGGTTGGGCTTGCTGACCAAAAAGAAGAATTAATTGACACACTTATTAGAGGTACATTGGAGCGAAAGATAATCGCTATCGTAGGAATGCCTGGAATTGGGAAGACCACTTTTGTAAAGAATGTGTTTTGCACTCCAAACGTATTTTATCACTTCACCATACGAGCATGCTGTTATGTTTCTCAAAAATATAAAAAGAGAGATTTGTTGCTGGAAATTTTGAGCCACATTATTACTGTCACAGATAATACCCATGCAATGAGTGATTCAGATTTACAGGAACTGTTGTATAAGCAATTGAAGGGTAAAAGGTATCTCATCATTATGGATGATGTGTGGAGCACTAAGGCATGGCATGATTTGCAGCTATCATTTCCAAATGACTCAAATGGCAGCAGAATTTTGATGACAAGTCGTCTTCAGGATGTGGTTTCAAAAATTAGTGATCCCTATCCTCTTCGTCTACTCTCTGTGGATGAAAGTTGGGAGTTACTAAAAATAAAGGTACTTCAAGAAAAAACATGTCCCAAGAAACTACTGGAAGTTGGAAAGCAAATCGCCAAGAATTGCAATGGATTGCCTCTCGCCATTAGTGCAATAGGTGGTCTTCTCAATAGAACTTGTGGAAAGAACCAAGACTCGTGGAAGAAAGTTGCTGAGTGTGTGAGCTCACATGTAATTAATGATCCTGTCATTCAATGCAGAAAAATAGTAGAGATGAGCTACAATCACCTGCCAGATCATCTCAAAGCTTGCTTGCTTTATCTTGGAACATTTCCGGAGGACAAGGACATTCCAATTTGGAGATTATTGTGTTTATGGCTTGCAGAGGGGTTTGTACATCAATTGGAGTCTAATAATGCAAAGGATCTTGCAGAGGGATACTTAATGGATCTGGTTGGTAGAAGCCTTGTAATAGTGGCTAAAAGAGGATCAAATGGTGGGGTGAAAGCATGTCGAGTGCATGACATAGTTCGCGACTTGTGCTTGTTGAGAGCTAAAGATGACCATTTTTTGCAGCCAATATCTGGTAATGATGAACCTTATTCTTCTTTCGATTCTTTAGACCATGATGTTCCACTTGAGCTTTTGAATATTTCACGTTGCACAACATATGAGGAGTATCGACTGTGTTTTCTTGTGAACCGAGAACACTTTGTAGCATCGAGGCCTTCTGGCCCACATGTTCGATCCTTACTATATTTTGCCACGACCGATATGTATCCAAGATGCCCCTATGATGTTTCCTTCATTCCTAACAACTATAAACGCCTTAGGGTGTTGGATTTGGAATCCATCAATATGGGCAGCTCCTTGGCAAATGGAATAGACTTGCTTGTTGATTTGAGGTACTTAGCAGTTTGTGGTGACATGGAATCTATTCCATCATCTTTGTGCAACCTAGAGAATTTGGAAACTTTAGTTGTGAAGGGTTTGAAGAGGAAAGTCGTGTTACCAGATACAATATGGAGAATGAAAAGGTTGAGGCACATTCGCGTATCAAAGTTTGCTATCTTCACATTGCCATATGTGGAGGATGGAAATTCCCCTTTGTTAGAAAAGTTGATATCACTTTCCTTTCCATGTTTTATATGTGGGGAGAAGGCTAGTAACGACCTTGTACTGAGGTTTCCCATCCTTCAAGAACTGAGGTGTATAGTTTTAGAACCAAGAGATGTTACTGTGGATTGTTTTCAGTTTCCTGCATTGGAATCGCTATGCAAGTTAGAGTCGCTCAAGATGTCATACTATGGAAAACTTATGAATGCTGAGGGACTAAACTTGCCCTTCAGCTTAAAGAAGTTGACTCTATCAAACTTCCGCTTGCCTTGGAGTCATATCTCAGCAATTGGGAGATTGCATAACCTGGAGGTACTCAAATTGATTTCTAGAGCATTTGAAGGGTCAAGTTGGGAAATGGCAGAAGGGGAGTTTGTTAATCTTACATACTTGAAATTAGACGGGCTAAATATTGCTCATTGGGATGCCTTCAGTGATCACTTGCCCCAGCTGCGGCAGCTTGTGGTGCGAAATTGTGAGTGGCTTGAAGAGATTCCTTTTGACTTTGTAAACATCTCAACATTGCAGAAGATTGAAGTTCAACAATGTGGAGTATCTGTCGAACAATCGGTCAGAAGAATTGAGAACCAGGGAATGGAAGGGCTAAACATTGTTATAAACAACTTGCATCTACAGTAAAGATTGTGATGTTGATTGTCGTTATCCTTCTGAATTCAAGTAAGTTATTCTTAGCTGGAGTTGGTGCACTATTTTCAAATGGCTTGACTTATTCATCTTCTAGTTTGTTTTTAGTGGCAACATTAGGCAGGACACAGGATAGAGGGAATTTCATGTTGGCAGTAAACTAAATGTCCAAAACAGATCTGTACCCAAAGGATCAATATTTCTGTTTTGACTTTTGAGGTTACGCTTACATCCAAATCATTTTGTTATCTGAAATTGACCATGTGGTGACAGATTAGTTTAGATTGTTGTTTTGAGAATGTAACCTTCGACTAATAATTGTGTTAAAACTGAATCATTCACTGCTGTGGATGCTGTTAGAACTTATACTTTTTTTCTAATACACTTGATACCATCTTGCTTGAAAATGATCCGGTAGTGTTTTTAGTGGAAACCACATTTTCAAAACCTTAAGCATTGTCGAATGCCTCCTTCCATGAAATCTATGGTGGTACCTTGCTTTTATGTTAGTTTTTTACTTTTACACGGAGATCATGAGGTCGGTATCATGTGTCAGGATCAGATAAGAATCATCTTTGTTATTATTTTCAACAAGTGCAGAGCTGACAAAATCCTTAGACTGCACAGAATTGGCATACTTTAATAATTTCCGTCTTTCTATCTTGATTATCTTCTTGGTTGAATTCGGGTAGACCAGAACTCTATGCAAGCATGGATGGTCAATTTGGAGTTGCGACTTTCACAATTTTGCTGCTGAACAAATGTTTACTGGTTTCTGCTACAAAAATGTATTTTGGCTTTCCTAGTAAATGAATCTGGAAACAAATCTCTGATGCAGTAGACATTCAAGGTGACATCAATCTCACGGATAACCATGCCTTAATCTCCTTAACTATATCTTTTCAAATGGACTTTTTACAGCATATTGCCTTCAGACTTTACATCATGCGGGTTAAGTATGATACTGCTTGTGGCAAGGTACAAGCAAGGGTTTAATGGATCATTAAAATGTTACTGGATAAGTGCTTTAAATGGTGCATTGCTATGGTTTCCTTTGTGATATGGCAACTCATAAATTTAAAGCTACAAATGACATCGAAGCCTCTTGCTTCATTAGTGCATTAGTTAAAGAATATGTCAAGCATTGAAGAACTGATTGTTAGACTGACCTTATCGTAGGTATCAAATGAAGCTAATCGGATGCTTGATGCGGGCTTTAAACCTGATGATCGTGCTATATTAGGTCATTGATGCTCTGGTATGGAATTCAACCGTCTGCTTGCTGTTGATAGTTTTCAACATTCTTTACTTGTGCTCCTGAAGATCATTCTAAAGCTTTACATGTGTTGTGGTAGTAATTTGTCTTCTGATGCACTTTTGCTGTTTATCAAACCAGCAAATGGTGAGTGCAACACGGCCGCTACCCTTTCAACCACTCTCCCAAGAATATATATACGGATCCCTATCCTATTAAGATATGAATATTAGACTCGAGGTTCTCTCATTCCTTCTGTCAACTCTGAGGTGACTTTAGGAGCCGCTTTCATGTGGTGGATGGTTCTTTGTGTCAATTCAAGGTTCTTTCATGGCCTATTTAAGTTTGTTCTTTTCGCTGTTGTTATTCGCATATCATGGGGGTCGTGCGATACGGCTATGCACGCGATCTAAAGTGCTAAATCATCTCATTACTTTTCTGCTTCGGAAAACTTAGTTTTTCTTCAAAAGTTTTGCAGAATTTCATGAAAGTTGGGTTTGTTTTCCTGTGAAAATATTGTGTGCACAAACATACAATCTTGGATTCGTAGTTGGCTGTTACCTTTAAGTAAAGCAACTATTTTGCAGATTGGCGTGGCTGCTAAAAAAGCCAGAAATATCCCTGATGTTGGAGGATTATGTAAACACTGCAGAATTGGAAGAACCAGACAAGCTGGTAAAGATGGGGTCTGCTCACACATTCATCATGGAAGAAAAAAAAGGTACAGTTGCTAGCTAAATGAATGAGTAAATGATGGTTTTATCCTTTTAATCCTAAACCGATTTTACCTTCGGTTGCCAGCTATGTCGAAGTTATGAATGCTACCATTGAATGCCTCTAAGATTCCTAATCATGGGTGTCTAAATTGTTCGTAGGGACTTAATTGAGGAGGAAAAATGGATAACTCATGTTAAAAAGACTGTAGGGTGTCTTTAAACTGAGTTTGATCTCATAAACATTTCCATGATGTAAAATAGTGCTGGCAAGGGTTGGGTGGTGAGAGACTGTAAAATCAGTTATATTCGCAGCCTGTATGGCTGTACACTGTGGAAGAACACCGATAATGGCGAGTTAAGTACACTTAAAGTTGGCTCTAAAAGCTTATTGAAATTGCTGAACCCACTCATTTATCAATCAATCGTATGTACTCCCTCTGCCCTGAAAAAATTGTCTCGGTACAAATCTTAATACCCAATGTAAATTGTTATTTTGGGACGGAAAAAGTACTGTATATAGTACCAAATGAGTATTACAATCATACTAGCCACAAATCCAGTTGATACATGTTTGCGATAATGAGCTGAGAAATGTAACCAACGTCATATTGCTGCTTTCCTCTTACTTGGAAAGTTCATTTTACCTTCTCCTTTGTCGTTTCGTGAAATTCCTCACTCGTCATGTGATGTTTAACAACGCACCAATTTAGCAAAAAAAGACCAAAATCCAAATCAAAATAGGAGAAGCCAAAATTCGAAAATAAAGAGTAATAAAAAGAGCCGTTGTTCGTTAACACAGTTTCCCAATTAATTCTACGATAGATGTAATTTCCCAATTCCCATTCGAAACTTGATTAGGAAAAACTATTTCTCTATATATACCATATATCCCAATTGTATCCTAAAACAACTTAATTTACCCCAGAAGGGGAAAAAAAATACTTACTAGGAATACAACTCTGTTTCAAATTAACTTTCGATTCTGCTCTATTCACTTTCATCGTTTCTTGTAAACCAAGCAAATCCCAGAATTCTCCATTCGTTGTTTTTGTTGATCAGTATCTGAAGAGGGTTTATACATCGTGGGTTCAACACCAACAGTTGTAGCGTTTGAAGAGGGTTTATTGGTTTTTATTGAATTTGTTGGTTTGAGAAGCAGAGGAAGAATGGAGGAAGAGAATGATGGTGGTTGGGGTCGGTTTAATGTCCTAGTGGAAGTGGCACGGATTGTGAAAGAAGAAGAAGAATCACAAGAAAAGGAAATAAACTTGAGGAAGAATATCAAACCAAATTCAATCTGGATGATGAATAATCCCCAAAGGGCTGAAGAAAGTTCTGAGCTTTCAAGTCGTCCCAAACCGAAAAGGACAGAGAGGCCCAAGGAGAAGAAGCCTTCTCAATTGCAACGTTCAGATGTGAATTTTAATCAACCAAAGAAGGATGGAAGTGACCCAATTTCTTGCTGGAAATTTTTTGTTGATTTCTCAGACAAATCATTTGATGCTGCCACAACTAGTTCTTCGGAAGAGATGCCCATGCCTATGTCTGATTCTGAGCAACCAATAATGGCAATTCCTGAAGCCATTTACTGCAAAGATTATGGGTTCATTGTCAAGAACCCATCATCATCAAAGAGGGTTCGAAATGAAAAGGTTGAATTTCAAGGAGAATTGAAGCTATTTCCTGACAATTATGGAGTTGTTTTCAAGAGGAACCCATCTTCATCAAAGAGGGTTAGAACTGAAAAGGTTGAATTTGAAGGAGAACTGAAGCCACTGCCTGAGAATTATGGTCTTCTTTTCAAGAACCCATCGTCATCAAAGAGGGTTAGGAAGAAAAAGTTGAATCTTCAGGGTGAATTTAAGCCACTGCCTGAAAATTTCAAGAACAAGATCATAACTTTGGGAGGACCAAGTTCTGAATCAAGCATAACTTTTGTGTTTCAGAAAGTGTTAACAGCTACTGATGTGAATCCTCGACACAGCAGATTACTGATACCATTTGGGCAAGTAAAAGATCATTCCTTTTTGACTGATAGTGAAAGGGATATGTTGGAGAACAGATATAACAAGACTGATGAAGGGAGGACTAACGATGTTGAAGTCAATAATGGGGCTGTGATGGTGATTCGTGCCATTTTTCTGAATCCTGCTTGCAATGAGCAACAAATGTGTTTGACAAGATGGGACATGGGCAAAGGTGCTGATAAAGCTAGTCCTAACTATTGTTTGCGGACGCAGTGGAGAAAAGTGGTGGAAGAGAATCAACTCAAAGAGAATGATACCATCCAGCTGTGGGGATTTAGGAAAGGTTTAGCTTTGGGATTGGCTTTAGTTCAACTTTAAACTTGTTTTCTAGGATTAAGAGGACTGTACATTCTGTTTTCAGTTTTTGTTGAAGAAAGATGATATTTCATTTCTATTTTTGTAGCAGGAAACTATTGGCAAACTCGTTTGCAGGATTATTGCAGTTGGGTTTTTGACCAATTTTTTTATAGTGCTGGAATGAAAGCATTTTTGTATTCAACTTTCACTCTTTATTCATCCTGTAGATGAGTTGATCATTTCACTTACTTTGACAATTCAACAAAAGTCAAGTGTTTCGCTGTACCTATTCTGTCAGATTTGTGTGAACTCTACCAGATTTTAATATTCTCAGAGAAATTATGATGACTAGCTAGGGACCTGTTTCTTGACTGTATAACCAATATATGCAGGACTGCAATGGGAATCTTTCTACTAAGACTTCCTAAAATTTGAGTAAGGGGATTTGCAGAGATGGTTTTGACTATCTGCTATGATAGTCGACCGTCAACCTCCACTGAGCTGCTGATGCCTTGTGCCGCCGGATCTCCCTTAGCTTGCCGGACTCATTACTGTAACTAGGCTGAAGCTGCGCAGAAATTGATAATTTGGCAAGGGATGGTGGCTGTTGGGCGTTGGCTCCCCTTTCTGACTGTGGCTGCATTTGAAGGGAATTTGATTGTTTTCTTTTCTTTGGTCTTCTTTGATCGGTTCTCAGATGCGGGAGTTTAGTTTCTTAGTTCCATGACTGCGGCCTGACTTATTTCTGTTTTCAGTTGCCTTAGGATATTCAAACATGTTAGAATAGATACTTCATTGTTAAGAATAAAGAGGATAGATGTAAGTGAACCAGAATGGCTAAACCAGATCTATGTCCTAAGAATCAATGCTTCTATTTTGAGGTTATGGTTCCACTCACCTCATTTTAGTTTCTGGAAGAGACTTCATAAAGACAATGTAGTTTCGCTTGTTACTTGGCTAATAATATAGGCTCTCACTAGTAGTTACCTAGAAATGAACCATTCAGCCCCGTAGTTGGCGGTTCTGGAACCTTTATTTGTTTCTAAGACTATTTTTTCTTGCTTGAAAACGATCCTAAAGTGGTTTCACCAGGAAACCACATTTGCAATACCTCCAGCATTGTCTCAACAGCCAACAACGCTCGTAAACTGTACTTGTACATGCTAATGCTAGGTATTTCTTTCTCACAGGTGGTTGAGGGGCATGACTACTCGTCCCTTTAGCATGTGTGGCGCATGGATCAGCTATCTTCATTTTATTTTTTGACGAGTGCAGAGCTGATGAGTCCTTAGGCTGCACAAGTCTGGCATACTTTTTCACCGTTTTCTTCTTCCATTAGCTTATAATTTAAGTCTAAATAGAGCAAAACTATATACAGCTTGGAAGAAGGTCAACTTGGAGTTGCAGCTTTCATTTTTCAGCTGGAACTTTCTTGCTTCCTTCCTTTCTTTTTTTTCTTTTTTTTTTTTTTGCTTTGTGAATACTTCTGCTAGTTTCTGCTTTATATGTCATTGGGGATTAGCGATATGTTTCCAAATTTTGAAGCAGTAGCACGGTGACTGCGAATTTGAAATCTCTGAGATCAGATAACCACATCTTGATCAACTTAACCATATCTTTTGAGAGGGGACTTCAGACTGCATAGTGACTTGTGACTTCACATTTTGCGGAATGAGTATGACATTTGTTCCTGCAAGGGCTTAGTGGGATAAATAAAATCATACTGTAGAACGTTTGTTTAGTGCTATGTTTGGAGAATCTTAGAATTATAATTTTGCGGCCTCAAATGACGTAGAAACCTCTTGCTACATCAGTTCATTTGTTACATGCTTGAAATATGTCAATTAACTCAAAAGCATTAGAAATTTGTCAGTTAGAACTGATTCTTAGATCGACCTTTTCGTAGATATTAGATGAAGCTGACACCTGACAGGATGCTTGATCTTGGTTTTAAACCAGAAGTTTGAGCTATATTGTGTCAGACAGGCTTTTTCATTCAGTCTGCTGTTATTGATTGTTTTAAGCTTTTTTTTAAAAAAAAATTTTTAAATTTTTTTATTTTTTTCCTAATCATCTCCTTGAATCAGTATAACATATACATAATACTGGCATGGCTTGTTCCTGGAAATGGAAAGTTCCTTCCATAAGTGGCAACAGCGCACAAAATGGCTGCAACCGGACAATTCCAGCATTTAAGGATGGAAGTTTTCTTTTGATGGTAAGAAACAGTTGGAGCAGTTCTTTGTTTTTTCTGCTGTTAATCTTGGATTCGCGGTAGTTTGGTTCTGTGAAGAAAACTCTGCTTTTGCAGATTGCAACTGATATAGCTGCTCGAAAATTAGATATCGCTGATGACGAAATTGTAATGAACTACAGCTTTCCTCTTAACAAAAGGAGGTTTATATATGTGCTAAGAACTGATCTTTTTGGTTTTAGGTCAGATGGTTACCACATTAACAAAACTACACAAACTTTTATGACAAAATCAAACAAGTAAAGAAATAACAAATCCATTGCATTCCCAAATTCACATTACCAAGAGGATCACAGAAAAATTAGCATAAGTTCTGGCCTGAATAGCGGTGATCCTAAACTGGTTTGCGTTCAAGTGTACAAACTTAGAGCAAATGATGTAATTGAGGTCTCATAGGAATGTAGTAGTTTGATTAAGGCAATATGCCCCTTGTAAAAGTTGATTGCACAGAAGAATTATGGTTGAAATTTTTATTATGTGGCGGTACATAAGCGAATAGAATGGATTGTACTTGTAAAAGTTGCAACAATATTTTAATCTTGACCGCAAACATTATTATATATAAGTGCCTCAATGAAACTATTCAACTTCAGTTTCTCAGTATCTTCAGTTGTCGATATGAAACTAGTGCTAGCAAACATATTGCCGTGGACGTAATTAACCAACCATATTTAAAGCCGCGGGAAGCGATTCTTCTCTCATTCAATCCTTGAGACGACGGGAGGAAATGAGGAGAATGTGCCAAATTTGGATGTAACAGAAAGCCACAACTTGACAATGAGCATCCGTCAATCCAAAACCACTCCCATCTGCCATTTCCGGTGACATCCTTCCAGACTATCATTCCTGATCCAACAGTATCGTTACAGAAGCACGCCATCTCATCGCTCCAAACGCATTTGGATGCATACCAACCAGCCACTTCCCTAAAGAGCTATAACTTTTTCCACAATGAAAAGGGCACATTCTCAATCAAACACCAGCTATCACCTTCTTGGAGCTCCCACACGTATGCATTGAAACCATAATCGTACTCAGTAAGCATCAGCTTCCCTTTTCTTCGCCCCAATGTTGCAAACTTCAAACATATCTTCAGTAGGAAACCGCAATCCCTTCCATGTGTTTGTGGTGATCTCCAACGCGATTATCCTAAGTTGGCCCCAGCGGTCTGAGGTTATCCAGTACAAAACCCCATCGGAATACACCCCCGCCGGGTCACATCTCCTACTTACCCTCTTGGAATATTTCCTTGGCACGGAACCGAAAATCGCCCTCGAGTCACCGCGTGAATCGTACATTTGTGTTGTGGATTCATAAGTGGAACCATGTCCTCTCCGGGACGGATACTTGGCACCGGCCACCAGGTAAACCCGAAAGTGGAATTGACCTGAATCGGTAGAGAATTCTTCCACCAAACCCACAGTTACATGGATGTTGTCGAGCTGATCGGACCTTGGGAGTTCCCTGGGGCAAGGCAGGCGCCTGAATTCCCGAGTAAAAGGGTTGCATATTCCTAATTCAATTTCAGGCCAGCCACGGGACCACAACATAACAAGGCCGTTGCCAATTGGAGAAACATGTTCAACTCGTGTAGGAATAAAATCAAGAGATAAGTGTAGTTTCGACGGCTTTCAACTGGGTTTTTGACGCAGAAGACGAGATCGTCGTCGCGAGTCATCGAGGAGATGAACCAGGCCGAATGCCGCGGCTGCCTCCGCCTCAACTGGGACATGTCCGAGTAGCCGTCGGGCATCGGTTCCAATTCTGGCAGGCTGATTTAGCGCAAGCTAACGCGTTAGCAGGTAACAAGGTGAAGATTTGGGCCAACAGATCAAAGGGAAGATCGTTCGACATGGTTAATATTCTTGGCGAAGCGATTGAATTTTGAATGCTACTTTTCAAGTGATTGAATTTTTCAGTAAGTGGTATTTATATTTTTTTACCCATGATTGCACATTTGCACCTATCATCCTCTCTTCCAGTTCCCTTCTCTTTTAAGTCCTGTATTTTTGTGATTTTATTTTCCACTCCCTCATACTATACCAATGAGTTACAAATCTTTAGTATGCGAATTTCTTAAACGTACATAATTGAAATTAGACATGCTAATTGCTAAACGTTGTCTATTGGGAAGATATATAGGTGCTAGAGATCTTTGTACTAGTTAGATGTGCATTCTAATAGTCTGTACTTGTACGTTTTTCCTTTAACTTATGAAATTGAAAATTTACAAACCCACAGAAAAAAAAAAAGGGAAGACGACTTCATTGATCACTTCCCCCCTGGTCCAACTACACGTTAAGTGAAATTGTGAGTGGCTTGACGAGATTCCTTTTGACTTTCTATTTTTGTAAGTATCTCAACATTGCTTATGACTTTTTATTTTTGACATTTACTGAATGTACATCATTTATGTTTTTTTTTTCTAAAAAAAGAATTTACATTCCTTGAAAATTTACTTTTTATTCAAACATAATTTTTTTTTGTCTACCATCGTTCAATGGTGATACATGTCAGCTCCCAACTCCCACGGGTAGGTTCCGCCATGTTGCAAGTCCGAAAAATATGTTCATAAAAAGATTTTTTGGATAGATGTTATTGAATACTATAAATTTTATGTGAAACATACTAATTATTCATGGATTAAAGGAGAAACTGATTACAAAAAAGTTAGTATCTTTTGTTCTGGTTCTTAAAAATGATACATAGACACTAAATTATGGGATCCACCAACTTCTTGGTAATTCTCTTGTGGACCGTGTAAAGT